GCTTTGCTTTTCTTTTTCAACATTCCTCTGGCTATTCGGGGTCTTTTCTGGTTCCGTACAAATTTTAGGATGATTTGTTCCATTTCTTTGAAAAAAGTGGATGGTACTTTGATAGTGATGGCATTGAATGTGTAGATTGCTCTAGGTAGCATTGACATCTTCACAACATTTGTTCTTCCAATCCATGAGCATGGAACGTTTTTCATTTCTTTGTGTCTTCCTCAATTTCTTTCATGAGTATTTTATAGTTTTCTGAATGCAGATTCTTTGCCTCTTTGGTTAGATCTTTTTCACCTCTTAAAACAATATGCCTAATTCTTGAATATGCTATTTTTATAAAATAGCCAAGCAATATATGAATATAAATATGTAAAAGAGGCTCTTTAATTCTTCCTAGATTGTTAGTTTAATGTTGACTTTGGAATATTTTTATATGTAATTTGAATATATATGTATGTATGCATATTGATATATTTTGGAGGACAAAATGAGTTACCAATTCCTAGGCAGAGTAGAACAAGAGGACCTAAATCTTACAGAGGCAAGTGAAAAGATCAAGCATACAGTTAGGAATCAAGATATCCTAAGAAAATAAAAGGGAAAAATAGAATTCTCTTCTACTTTAAGAGAAAGGGGTCATGCCAAATACATTATTGTCTAGCATGATTTTTTTTTTAACTGAATAATATGTCTTGGAAGGTTTTCCATGCCAGTAGGTGTAGGTCAGCCTATTACTTTTTAATAGCTGTATGGTATCTGAAAAATGTAGATATACTAGAATTTATTTAACTAATCCTTTATTATTGAATATTTAATTGGTTTTAATTATCTTAGTATTATAAACAGTTTCTCAATGAATATAACTTTTCTTATATTTTTTAATTTTATATATACTTATTTTTGTATTATATTTTATATTTATATCTGTGCCTGTATCTTTATGATGCCTTTGTAAAGCAAAATTAGTTATCAATTATTAGGTAGAAGAGAACCAGAGGGATCTGTGCATGCATTGGAGCATGCCTTTAACACTCAGACAGATAGTTTTCAACTCTTCCTTAGCCTTCATTTCCTTCTTAAGTGTATCCTCAATGTAAGCCAGAGGTGAGAGTTCAGGACCTGCTCAGGTTTTCCTGGGTATGGCCCTATCCATGAGTGTGGCCATCTAGGTGCTCAGGAATATGTTTTTTTTTTTCGTATTTTTTGAATATGAAAAGGCCTTTTCAAAGGCCTCTATGGATATCTCATTCCCCAGATTTTCCTTTTAAGCTTGTTTGCTAGCCTATTGTTTGCTCCAACTGTTTTTATTGACTTGGAAATAGGCCCATGACATATTTTTGGGTGGAAAGATAGTAGACTGTATGTACTGTTTTATTTGGGTGAAATGTTCACAATCATTGATGTGCATAAAGAAAAGTAGAAAGGTATCTGAGTAGGATATTAATCAAAATATATCATTTTTTTGCATGCCCTGAATGGGAAATTTGTGTTGCTTTTATCTTTATTCTTTGTACAGTTGTGGGTTTATTTGACTTTTTAAAATTAGTATGTCATTAGAAGAGCAGCAATAACATTGAAGAGCAGGACTTCAGAATCTGTCTTTTTGTTGTTGTTTGTTTCAAGTTTTATTTAAATTCTAGTTAGTTAACATATAGTGTAATATTGGTTTCAGGAGTAGACTTTAGTGATTCATTACTTACATATAGCACCCAGTGCTTGCTCCAACTGTTACCCACCACTTCAGGCATTTATAAGTTAACTAATTGCCTCTGATTGTTTTTGATGAGTACTCCCAGGGAAAAGACTCTGCATTGGGCAAATTTTGAGTCAGGTCAAATAAGGATGGTTGTGCAAGTAAGGTCTTCCATGGAACCACCAAACAGGTCTAATAATGACAGTTCTTAGGGAATGGGGCTTTGAAGAAGTTCTAACCTCATTCTTTTCCATTGGCTATCAGGCTGCTATTTTTCATCATGATTGTAGGCTCTTAGTTTTCAAAGTTCCTAGGAAGCTGGGATGGTGAGATGAGAATATGGCAAGTTAAATGCCACAAAGTTCACTATTATTGAGATTCAGCCATTTTTCTTGAAAAAACACCCTTTGGATTGCTGTAAGCCTTTGATTTATATCCAGAGTTTTGAAAAAAGTTGATCTGATAATTTTCGCCAGTGTTCTCATTGCTTTTATGGAGGAGAGGGTTCTCAACGGTCCTTCCTCTGCCACTTTTGCTCACTTGATCAGTAACTACTGGTTGAATGAGTGAATAATGCCCAGTTCTTCCTCCCTGCCTGTGCAAATCTAAAACCTTGTGGATCAGTTTGCTCGTTATATCTTGAATTCCAAGAAAATGTGATCTGACTATAAAGTGATTTGCTCTCTGGTATTGATTATGGGAACTGTGTTTCCTTATCAAATTAAATTAAGGATTGCAGTGGTCTGAGGAGCACTTAAATTCAGCATTAGGACCAGATATCAATCTGTTTAGGTTTTAAGGAAGACATTTGTTTAGGGAAAATTCTCTCATTAATATTAATATTTTCTTCTAACTGTTCTTTCCAATTCACTTTTGATACTAAGGACTGTTAGCATAAGAAAATGAAGTTTCTAGGGATGCCTGGGTGGCTCAGTTGGTTAAAGGTCTGCCTTTGGCTCAGGTCATGATCCCAGGGTCCTGGGATCGAGTCCCACATCGGGCTCCTTGCTCAGCAGGGAGCCTGCTTCTCCCTCTGCCTGCTTGTGTTCCTCCTCTCGCTCTCTCTCTCTCTCTGGCAAATAAATAAAATCTTAAAAAAAAAAAAAAAGAAAATGAAGTTTCTATGGAGAAATAGAAATTTTACATCTACTCCATTCTTCTCTCTTTTATACTATGTTTTCAAAATTACATTTTTAAGCAATTAATGATGCTCTCAAATTTTGGTTTAAGCTGCCTTGCTATTATAGATTATACCACTGGTAAGAAATTATTTTAGTTAAAAGTTTTAACTAAGAGGTGACTCTGGTATAATGAGAGAACCCACACCTTTTAGCACAATACCCATAGCTTTTAGCACAATGCTCAGCATATAAATAGCATTTAATAAATACCAGCTATTGTTGCTCATATTATATCAGTAGTGATAATAGCAAAAATTACAGTTTATACTAAAAATGTGGTCGGAATTGAGCAAATGCCTACTTGCAGATAAATTTTTAGGAAACCCTATGCCTAACCTGGTAGGTTATTGACACAAAATCAGCTCCTCCAAGAAAAGCTATTGGTTCTTATGGTAAAATAATTTCTTTGTTTATTGTATTTTTGCAGCATTCCAAAATGCCTTGAAGATTTTCTGTAGGATAAAAAGTGGTCGAGTTGCAACTGATGAACTGGCTGCTGTTTTGGATAGCATGGATATCCCTGTAATCCCTGAAACTTTTCAGGAAGTGATAAAACATGCTAGTATAGACAGTGAGTTATTTGAATTAATATGTATATATATCTTTCTTGGATATCAGTTTTCTGATTCATCCTTTATTTCTCCTTCTTTTTCTTCTGATTCTTGCCTTTTGCCATCATTACTGCTTACAGGTGTCTATGGTAAGAGATAGTCTAAGAAAATTAAATGAGAAATTTCTAAAATTGTCATATTTTAGTATGTTTGGTAAAAATCTAAGAGAAAAATGGATTTATTTTCTTTTCAAACTTACCTTTCTTTTCCAATAGTCATTTCTTATCTGTGTAGAGATAGTTTCTGTAGTGTCAAGGGCATTGGCTTCTCAAGTTAGGAGACCTAAATTTCTTGAGTTTTTAATTTTTTTGGATAGCTTTGATTATATAATCCTCCTGTGCTATTCAGTTACCTGCAAAATGTAGATTTCTTTTAAACATTATAAATATATTTAGCAGATGTTTTGTATCATATGTTTACATGTCACCAGGGGGTGTCTGATAATAATGGACTGATAAATAATTGATTCATTGATTATCCATTTATTTAATAAGTCAGATAGTCATTTAATATTTACTGTGCTTGAAACTGTGCTAGGTGATACACAGATAATAGAACACACTTCTTTTTCCAAAGGAGCTCACATTCTAGTGTGGAAAGAGTCAAGTAAAATGAGAATTATAATGTTGTGTAACAAATACTATTATAAAATGTAGATAGGCTGCAAATATATCCTGGAAGCACCAGAGAAAGATTATCAGAGGATGTGATACCTGAGCTAAATCTTGAAGGATCAGTAAGGGTTGGTTGGTTGAAGGTGGTAGTAAAGAGTGAGAAAGATATTTTAGACTGAGGGAAGAGTTTGTGTAAATATGGCAGGAAAATAATGAGACATGACATCTTTTTTAATGGGCTTCCATTAGTTTTTGTCATTTGTTAGTGATGGCTTTTTAGTGGGCCTTTGGCTGCTGAAATGTGTTGTGAAGATAGAACTGGGCTGCATGGATTTTTTGTTTTGTTTTTGTTTTTTGAGAAGGAGAGGAGTGAGAGGGGCAGAGAGAATCTTAAGCAGACTCCACACCCAGTGCAGAGCCTGATGTGGGGCTCAATCTCACAACCCTAAAATCATGACTTGAGTTGAAATCAAGAGTTGGTCACTTAACTGATGAGCCACCCAGGCACCCCAGGCTGCATGGATTTTACTAGGTAGTCATTTATGGTAGGTTCTGGGTTAGTACACATAAGTGGAGGGATGTTCTGAGGCATGAAGATGTCCATAAAATGGGGATTTTAAAGTTTAATCTCAAGCCATATTATTAAATAGCCTTTAGGGCATGCTCTACCAGAAGAAACAGAAATCATACGTGAGATCACTGCAGCACTTTTTTTTTTGACTTAGGTAATTCTGGTCTGGACTTCCAGACCTTCTACTTTATTTGGGGAGCTAAACTGAAAAATTATGCTAATTTCATAGGATTGTTATAGGAATTAAATATAAATATTACTGTGTTTGTCACCTAGAACAGTCTCAAGAAATGTGAAGCAGAAACCTGAGAATTATCCTTGACAACTCTGTTTTCTCTGTTCTCCTCATGCAATCATTAGGAATTGCTATTATTTTAAACTCCTAGATGTCTCTTTCTAGCTATCTTTCTATTTTCCAATATTACTACCTTAGTCCAAGTTACCATAATCTTTCCTTAGGACTATCAATGTTCATCCTAACAAGTCCACCCATATCTGGTCTTTCCCCCTTTACACTGTAGCCATAATAATCTTTTCAAAACACATATCTCATCATGTTACCTCCTGCATAAAATCTAAAAATACTTCTTGGGATGAAAAACCCTTTAATGTTGCATACAAGGCCTTGCAATATCTGGCCTTTACTATAGGTCTCCAGCTTTATCACAGACCACATTCTGCTTTGCTCACTGTGCCTTCACAGAGTTTCGGTTGTATACCCTGCCTCCTCCTGCCATAGCCTTTGCATATGTTCTTTTCTTTCCCTGGAACATTCTGCTCCTCCTAGTTAATTCCTACTTACACTTTAGATTTAAACTCAACTCTATAGGGATGTTTGCATGACTTCTCTAACTTGGTCAAATTCTCATACACTTTCACAGCACTAGCCACAGTTGCAATTTTTATTTCTTATTGTTTTATTAAGCTCTGTATCTCAAATAAGACTAAGCAGCAGGAAAGCAGATATCATGTCTACTTTTGCTCAATATTGTATCCTCAGTACCTACTAGTACAGTGCTTATGGTACATATTAACTGCTCAACAAATATATGTTGAATGAGTTAATAAGTCTCACCCTTTACTCCATTTCCTCCAACCGTGGAGAATAAGATTTCTTCACTTTGTCATTTTAATAAGCTGGTTGTGACTTAAGGTAAAATTCCTCATAGGGAAGGTCCTTGTCCTTTGACTAGGAAAATCATTTTAATAGGTTTGTTTGATTATGGGAGCTAAAGCCTATTGGGAGACACCTAGTTTGAGCAAAAAGATAACCTTAAGTACTCTATATAAGAAAATAACAGGAATGGGGCGCCTGGGTGGCTCAGGTGTTAAGCGTCTGCCTTCGGCTTCAGGCTCCCTGCTCGGCGGGAAGCCTGCTTCTCCCTCTCCCACTCCCCCTGCTTGTGTTCCCTCTCTTGCTGTCTTTCTCTGTCAAATAAATAAATAAAG